TCCCATGAGGGACTGGCATCTTGAGCTACCAAGTGATCAGGGAACAATGTGGTCCCCAACCCCCTGGGAAACCTCCCTTCCCCATGGTCCCTCCACTCTTGCCTCTGCTCTCTACACTGTTCTTCTTGATCCGAAGCCTGCCTTCTGTTTCTCTCCATGAACATATGGCAGAGAATGGGGACCCCACAATCACTGAATTCTCAGTTTTAGGAACTTAACAGTGCCTTCCAAGTTCCTGGGAGAAATGGAACAGAGAGGGTTCCATCCCTGCTCCACGCTGCCCTAACATAGCCAGGATTGAGTACCTCAGACATGGTCTCTGGGATGACAAGGAAGAGGGGCTAGAGAGGGGCAGCTCTCAGAGGGGCCTCATAGTCACCCCAGAGTGCCTAAAGTTAGCAATGAGGCCAGTAAGCCTCCCTTCCCTCCTCCCTTTCTTTCTCTCTCCTCTCCCCTCTCCTTCCTCCCTTCCATCTTTCCTTCCTTTGGCAAATATTTATCAAATGCCTCCCATGTCCACAGCAATGTGGTCAGAGCTAGAGTTAGCCCCTGCCCCCAGAGCTAACACACTGGTGAAACAGGCAGACTTTGACAAAATCATTTAATTGACTAGTAAATGATAGCTGTGAGATGCACTCAGCAGGAAGGATAATGGGCACTTGAGACCAGGAGTAGGGTTTTCATCCTGAAGTAAGGATAGATGTGAGTTTACTGGGGATAAGACCATCCCAGGTCAGAGATACAGCCTGTGCAACTCCCCTGTGGTAGGTGGGGAGCATAGGGTGACCCAGAAACGCAAGGTCCCTGGGGCTGGTACACAAGGGGTCTGGAGAGCGGGGGTGCCTGCTCACTAGTCCTATACAATAAAGGGGTAATATGCAAATTAACCCTCACATCTTCACAAGATGGCTGCCTACAACCAGGCTGGCAGGGTGGTTAGTGAGGGACAACCAAACGACTGAACAAGCAGGCTGCATGGGGCAACCAGGCCGGCAGGGGGGTTAGTGAGGGACAACCAAACAACTAAACAAGCAGGCTGCGTGGGGCAACCAGGACGGCAGGGGGAGCAGTTGGAGGTAACCAGGTCAGCAGGGGGGTGGCAGTTATGGGGCAACCAGGCTGGCAGGGGGAGCAGTTGGGAGTGGCCAGGCCAGCAGGGGGGGCAGTTAGGGGTGACCAGGCAGGCAGGAAGTTGAGCGGTTAGGAGCCAGCGGTCCCGGATTGCAAGAGGGATGTCCGACTGCCGGTTTTGGGATTGGGCCTAAACCGACAGTCAGACATCCCCTAATGGGTCCCAGATTGGAGAGGGTGCAGGCTGGGCTGAGGGGGACCCCCGCCCCCGTGCACGAATTTCGTGCACTGGGCCCCTAGTAAATAAATAAGGCCAAAGCTGTGACCAGGAGTGCACCATGCAGGTGTCAGGCAGTCACAGGGACATGGGTCCCTCCTGCACAGAGTGGGAAGCCATCCATGGTGCATCCCATTATGTAAGGACCATTCTACCTGCTCTGTGGTGGGATGAGAGGTGCAGCCTGCAGGCAGGAAGAGAGCTTAGCAGCCTATTGAGGGGTGTTCTGCCTGGAGAAATCCACCAACCCATGATGGCAGAGACCACAGAAGTAGAAAGGTTGCAGTAGCCAGCCCTGTTTATAGTCCGAGTTACAAACTTAAACAACATACCCCCTACAGGGTCAAAATTGGTTGGCTATTTTGTGCATCCATTTGGACTGAGTGCATGAGTGCAGGGCGGAGCGCTCCCCTCGGCACTTCTCCTTCCACTTCTCTGCTTGCAGCTCAGTAGCCCCAGCAAGGTCTCAGCACGGTGCGCACTCCATCCAATCCCACCAGGGCCCAGGATTCTCCCTGGTGCAAACCGCTCTGTAGGTAGTTTGCAGGAGTAATTGCAAACTCCAGACAATCTTGGTATTTTTGCTTAACCATTCACTCCTCTGGAACTCTGGAGAGCATCTTCGATTTTTCTTGCTGTCTGGTGCCATTGCTAATGACTGTTTCTCTTCTCACCTTGTAACAATGGTTCTCAGCCTTTGTGTTTATGAAACAATCCACCTGGAGGATTTGACAAGTTCTTATTAATGTAAAGAGGGGGCTATACAATGCAGTGAAACTGCAGGTTTAATTACAAATAGGCATAAAAGTGTGGACATCAGGCTGACATGGACATGAAATTAACGTTATTATCTGGACAGGAAGTCTGAGAGGCCAGAGAAGCCATGGTGCTCAGAGAAAGCTTCTTCTTGAGGCCCAGGCTCTTCCTTGGTGATGTAACGCTGTGGCCGATGAGGAAAGCTTTTTATGCTCCCCAGTGCAGTGAGCAGCAACTAAGTGGCTGGCCACTGTGCCAGAGGATAAGGCTACCGAGTTGAAGAGAACATAGTCCTTGCCCACTAGGACTTCATAGCCTGGGCAGGGCCAGTCTACAGAGGGTGAGGGAGAGCATATGGTTCTTGTTAGGACATGTGAAAGGCCAGCAGGAATAAAAGAGTCAGTGAAAGCTGCAGAGAGAAGTTCACACTTGGCGGATCTTGAAGAATGAGTTCAGATTGGCCCAAATGAAGGGCATTTCAGGAAGAAAAATGTGGCCTACAGGTGAGAGGTGTAACAGCGCCTGTGTCTTTTAAGTAGTTACATTTAGGCAGATCTTGGAGTATGTGAGCTAGTGGATTTAGTGAGTGGTGGAAGCAACTGGGGAAGAGAAGGGGCAGGGGTTAAGAACATTGAACCTGACCATAGGAGCTGTCATTATTTTTATTAAATGAGAGGATGCATGGAGATTTTGATACAAAGACTGAGATATACTATGGGCTCAATAAAAGTACTGGAGAATTACTACTATTATATTTCGATGATGATGATGATGCCACAGATAATTCTTCAGCTGAGGTACACTATGAATTTATAGAAGATAAACATATAGTTTGACTATTCACTTCCTAAATGTCCTAACTCTTCTCCCTAAATCCTGTTCTCCCACTTCATTCTTCTCATCATGACAATCTCAGCGCTATCGCCTTTTCCTCAGCAAAACCTCCCCCAGCATCCGTGACCAAGCTCTGTCCTCCCCACTGGACACCAAGAGGACAGTGCCCGGCATAAAAAAGGGCTTAAGAAATAATAACTTTTAAACAGCATTGACTTTGCAATAGGCACAATGCTAAGTACTTTACATGTATGAACTCTTATTACTCACCTCAATTAAATTTGTGGAGGTCGGTATTCTGTTTATTTTCATTTTACAGAGGTTGAGGGTGAGACAAGCAAGGTTAAGTGACTTGTCCATGGTCACAAAACGATTAGGTGGTGGAGCCATGGGTGAATGGGATGGATAGATGAATGGAAGGAAGGAAGGAGGGAAGGAAGGAAGGATAAGCACTATCCTCACTATCTTCACCACCTCAGTTTCTTCTTCTGCAGACGCAGGTCTCTCTAATATTTTAGAACTGTTTGATGTTCTCAAGTGTTTTATTTATCAACACCAGTAAGCTCACCAAATGTGAAGAATGTTTTTTAAAAAAAGATCCATCATATTAAGAAAGGGGTTATATTTTCTTTTTCTTTAATTTAAAAAATATATTTTTATTGATTTCATAGAGGAAGGGAGAGGGAGAGAGAGAGATAGAAACGTCAATGATGAGAGAGAATCATTGATTGGTTGCCTCCTGCACGCCACCCACTGGGGATGGAGCCTGCAACTCGAGCATGTGTCCTCACCGGGAGTTGAACCATGACCTCCTGGTTCGTAGGTGGACACTCAACCACAGAGCCACGCTGGCCGGGCAATATTTTCTAAACAGTTATCTGCAAACAATGTTAGTAATTAAGCTCTGAAACTTTTGAATTGCATTAAGTTGTGGCATGAGTTGCATCACTACTTTACAGGAGTCCCTGGAAGCACACTGGATCTGGATGCTAGAATGCTGCAAACCAGACCCATTTGTTCTACTTAAGCTTCCCCCAGGGGGGAAGCAGGTCAGGGTCAACTCTCTTGGGTCTGGGATACCATCTGCGTCTTTCAGATCTGTTAGTAAATATTGATGTTTCTGATTGAAACATAACCCCTTTCTTAATATGGTGGATCTTTTTTTTAAACATTCTTCACATTTTGAGCTTACTGGTATTGATAAATAAAATACTTGAGAGCATCAAACAGTTTTAAAATATTAGAGAGACCTGGGTCTGCAGAAGAAGAAACTGAGGTGGTGAAGATAGTGAGGATAGTGCTATCCTTCTGATGTTATTGATGTCAGGTTGCAGCTGACCTCTACCCAACTCACTGAAGTATATGAGATTATAATGGCCATTTGCAGTTCAGGCAATATTTGGTTTATTTAAATATTAATGAAAATGAATCTTACTCCTTCTGATTGGCTGAAGATAGCCATGTTCATGAACTTTATTATCCATGGGGCACCTTATATCGCAGTTTTATTCATCGTAAATGAAGTCTCTTTGATCATTAGCTCTCAGGGATTGAGCATTACAGCATCTTGGAGTTCCAGAGTTTAAATGAAATTTACAGTTGATTTCCTCCCACCTGACTCTTTGCAGGAAAATCCACAATTAAATTTCTGAAAGATTGGCCTGCAGTCTTTCTGGAACACGTCCTGTGAGGGGGACCTCACTGTGTAAGACAAGAGTCTAGCCGAGTGGTTCTAAACTCCGTGTCCAGTTGCCCCAGTTCAAATCCAGGCTCCACCAACTATGTGCATACTTTGGGCAATTTACCTGAGCTATCTGAGCCTTGGTTGCCTCTTCTGCAGGACAGAGAATAGTAACATCTTTCTAACAGGAATGTAAAAGGATTTTCTGAAAATCTATTTACAGATTTGAGCTTAATCATTTTCATCAGCATCATCATCACTCATTGTTAAATTCACTGTATGGTCAAGAACATATTTAAGAAGTTACTATCACAAAAAAAATGCAGACACCATTCAAGAATGCATTTCCGATTCTAAAGGCTTTCTTCTCTTCTTCCCTAGGAAACTGCTCAAAGACCTCATGCGAGTGGAACTCACAGCTTCCTGGATCCGGCTCAGCATTCAGTAAGTGCGGCCACTTTTGAACATTCATTACATAAATGCATCCATGTCTTTGATCCTATTTTCTCTGAAAAAGCTCTCTTCAGCCAGCCGGAAGTCCCCACAAACACTTTGCCACCTGCCTGGGTCTTTCTTTCCTGCAGGCCAGTGATGGATCCAGAGATGAGAGGACGGTTTGCTAGCAGAACCCCCACAATGAACACAGGATATGTGTGAGAGTGTGGATGGGTCCACCTTACCATTCCTGGGGATAAAATTCACTGCTTTTGTTCCCCTTTCGTCCTCTAAGTTTGTTTCATTTGGAGACATTTCATCCGGCTCTCTCAGTCCCAGGACCTTGCTCAGTAGAAAGAAATGCCAGGAAACCCAGACCAGTTAGGGAGACCACATGTTTCTTAAAGCCTTGAAGAACAATTCGGTTTGCTCTTTTAGAGCCAGAATACGTTACTACTATATAAGAATTACTGCAAAAGAGAAATTCTGTACTGTAAGATGCTGGGGTACATTTTAGAAATTCCATTTGTTTTTAGCAAGTAAGCACTTTCCGCCATCTGCCTTTCCCACTGCACAGAAGGCTTTGTTTTTCGGTGAAGCCAGCAGTATTTTGTCCGATCTCCCTGCCTCTTACTGCTTATCAGATGTTAGCTTTAGTGATGTGCATAACCTCCGACAGCAGCTCTTCTCGGCAATGGTTCTGTGGGCAAACAACTTGTTTTATGAATAAATCTGTAATAATGTAACAACAAAGATCAACATGCAAAAGGCTAACTGAAGGAAATATTTATTTTTTAAAGATGTAGCTTCCTCATTGGTTTCAGAATTTCTTAATGTATTCTATCTATTTCTGAGCGTGGTGGAGTATAATTTGATACATCAACTATCACAGAGGGGCAGGTAGAATTGGAGGCTGTGGGGCTCCAGGCCTGGAAGAGGCTGATCAAAGGAAATGCTTTTGCCCTCAGAGGTACAGCAGGGCTCCCCTCATCGCTGTGGAATTTGCATATGCGAACAGAGAGAAGGAGGAGGAGGGATGGGAAGAAATAAAAAGATGGTGTCTTCACTGTTCCCTACATCAGAATGGCTTAGTGTAACCCTGATCAGCTAAAGCCTGTATCACACAGGAGATTAGACCTGAAGCTTTTGTTCCCAATAATAAAGGACATTTTATGTCTAATTCCCTACATGCTACATCTATCTGGTAATGCCTTTGAAGTTGAGGCTGCAGCATTTCCTGAAAATTGTGAGATTTTGTAAGTGAAAAGGAGGGGGCTGTTTTGCATGCATTCTGTTCAAGTCTATTGGGTGTCACGTTAAATGTGCGTGAGACTTTATCTTTTTCTGTCTCGAGCACCATCCATCTCCTGGCCTCCTCTGTGGTGCTGGGACAGGGGTGGGATGGAGGAGGAGGGTTTCAAGGATGGGTTTTCAGCTGATTCATGACACTCCCACCCTTGTCTCTACTTTCTCAGCGTGATACATATTTCTGCTTCTCGGGAAGAAATCCATGTTCCAAACCTGAATTTGGGCTGAAGTTTCTAACCTCGGGGAGGCTCTGGTTTCTGAGATAATTAGTGAAAACGTTGTAAGGAACGCGTGTTAATTTGTCTTTTGATATGGTGTTTCCATATCTACAATTACAGTCTGAAGAGGAAAAAATTATTAATTTGCTGCTCCAAACCAGTGTGCAGTTATGTGATAATTTGAACAAAATTAAAAAGGAAGAAATGGAAAAACTCCTCATTTGGGGATATTGAGAGCAGCTGCCCCGTGTCGGTGTGTGCCTACCAGATGGTGATGCTTTCCTGTGATCACAGCTTCTCCTGCACTGGGAACCTCATTCAACTTCCAGGGCCAAGAGGTCCCTTCGCCCAGAACAAGGGTGGAGTTCTGGGAGATTGGTTACCCGGAGAACATAACCCGGTGTCTATGTTGTCCATATACTTGGGCCTTGGGCTCTGTTTACCAATAACGTGTAGTACATCGCAGGTTAGGAAACTGCTCCACTCTTAGGGGACTGTAATGAGAGCAATGAATTTGCAGTTGCAATTTGCTTTTTGCTTTTTTTTTCCTTCCCTAAATGAGATTTTCATTTGCTCTTCTTTAACAAAATGTACTTGGCATACAATATTATATTGGCCATATTAGTTTTAGATACAATATCGTGATTTGACATTTTTTAATTTTTTTTATTTATTTCAGAGAGGAAGGGAGAGGGAGAGAGAGCTAGAAACATCAAAGATAGAAGAGAATCATTAATTGACTACCTACTGGGGATCCAGCCCACAACCGGGGCACATGCCCTTGACTGGAGTCAAACCCGGGACCCTTCAGTCCACAGGCCAACGCTCTATCCACTGAGCCAAATCGGCTAGGGCTGTGATTTGACATTTTTATACTTCACCATGTGATCACCCCCTTAGATCTAGTAATCATCTGACACTGTGAAACTTATCACAGTGTTCTTGACCACATTCCCCTTCTGCTTTTTCACCCATCCAAGTCCTACTTGAGGATTGCAGTTCGGGACTTTCAAGGAGACTGATACAGAACAACATCAATGGATAATACACTGACCACCAACCTTCTCTGATAAGTATAGACAGGTCATTACCGATTTGGTTTGGAATCACGGTTCTCAACATAGTCATCTAAATTTCTCCTTTATTTTTCAATTACAGTTGCCATATAGCATTGTTTTAGTTTCAGGGTACAACATAGTGATTAGACACTTACATAACTTATGAAATGATCACCCAATACATCTATTACCCACCTGACATCATACATAGTTATTACAGTATCATTGACTATTGTTGTACTTTACTATTGTTGTACCTATGCCTATTCTGTAACTTCCAATTTGTACTTCTTAATCCCTTCACCTTTTTTTTTAACCCATTTCCCAAACCTGCTTCCATTGGCAACCTTCAAAATGTTCTCTGTATCTATGCATCTGTTTCTGTTATGCTGATTTATTTTTTTTTTAATTCCACATATAAATGAAATTAAGTGACATTTGTCTTCCTCTGTCTGATATTTCACTCACCACAATACCGTCTAGGTCCATCCATGTTGTTACCAATGACAAGATTTCATTATTTTTTTATGGCTGAGTCATATTCCACTGGATATATGCATCACATCTTTATCAACTCATCTATTGATTGTCACTTAGGTAGCTTCCATATCTTGGCTATTGCAAATAACGCTGCAATAAACATATAGATGTATATGATCTTTGATTTAATGTCTTGGTTGTTTTTTGTTGTTGTTGTTGCTTTTTTTTTTGGATAAATATCCAGAATTGGAATTACTGGGTTCTTTGTCTTTTGTTATAGACTTTGTTTTAAAGTCTATTTTGTCTGGTATAAGTATTGCTACCCTAGCTTTTGTTTCTTTTTTTTTATCCAATTTTCATGAAATATTTTTTCTATCCCTACACTTTCAGTCTGTGTGTCTTTTGATCTGAAGTAGGCCTCTTATAGACAGCATGTGTTAGGGTCTTGTTTTGTTATCCATTCAGCCTCCATATGTCTTTCAATTGGAGCATTTAATCCATTTTCAAGTAATTGTTGACAGATATGTATTTATGCCATCCTATTATTCATATTTTTATCTTTTTTTATTCCTCTTCTTACAGAAGACCCTTTAATATTTCTTGTAATATTGGTTTGGTGGTGATGAAGACATTTAGCTCTTTTGTGTCTGGGAATCTCTTTATCTGATCTTCATTTCTAAATGACAGCTTGCTGGGTAGAGTAATCTTGATTATAGGACATTGCTTTTCCTCACTTTGAGTATATCTTGCCACTTCCTTCTGGCCTGAAATGTTGCTGTTGAGAAATCAGCTGACAGTTCTATGGGAGCTCTTTTGTAGGTAAGTAACTGCTTTCCTTTTGCTGCTTTTAAGATTCTTTCTTTGTCGTTAACTTTTCGCATTTTAATTATGATGTGCCTTGGTGTGGGCCTCTTTGGGTTCATTTTGTGTGGGACTCTGTGCTTCCTGGACTTGTATGTCTAGGTTAGGAAAGTTTTCTACCATTATTTTTTTTCACATATTTTTTAAATTTCTTGCTCTCTCTCTTCTCTTTCTAGGACCTCCATGATGAGAATGTTGGTACACTTGAAGTTGTCCCAAGGACTCCTTATACTATCCTCATTTTTTAATCCTTTTTCTTTTCACTGTTCTGATTGGGTGTTTTCTGCTTCCTTATCTTCCTAGTGCCACATGCAGCACAGATTGCCACACCCACTTCTGGGTGTCCCTTTCAACTCACAGTGCCTAAAATCAGACCAAACCCCACTCACTCACCATTCTCTCCCCAGGTGCCCCAGTCCCAGCTTCTGTCATCACTGACTTTGTCTTGTTTTTTATCCACCACCAAGAAAAGAGTAAGTCTTTGATCTGGGTCTTTAAAAAGCCTTCTTTCCATCCCCTGTGTTGGCATAAACTTCCTGCTATTCCTTTCCCCGTGGTTGTGAGGTCTTCTTAAGTGGTGGTCATGCCTAAAGCCACCCTCCCTGATTGCATCCTGCATATGGAAGGACTAACATTCCTACAACATGGAAATCACCTAGCTGCTTATTCATTAAGCTAGTCCCTATCTGACACTTTGTCTTCTCTTTAGGGGTGTGTTCTATTCCAATTAGGCAAGTTCAGCTCCTGACTGCTAAAGATGCTTACTTCCCAACTCCAAGCATCTGCTACTCTTGGTCTCACCAGCAGGGAAACCCTTTCCCATTCTCTTAGTTTACACTTCTGCATGGATCTCTGTTCAGATCCTCCTGATGAATGAACTTTTCCCCATGTGCTCAGTTTCTTGATTTCCCCTATGATAAAGGCAATATGAGGTCATTTTTCAGTGTAGACATTTGACCCCATGATATTATATATAATCTGATTATACATATAATCAGATTTTATTATATATATATATATGTGTGTCTATATATATATAATCTGAAGCTCAGTAGAGCAGGCAAGGTGGAACAGTAAAAGGGTG